TTCTTTGAGAAGCAGGTGGAAAGCCCTTCTGAGAAAGAGGGAAGCCAGCTGAGGAGTCTACAGGACCTTTCCATCTGTCCCCAGGGCAGTGATGTCACTTCAGCCTCAAAGCTGGACTGGCGGCCCACCCTTTCCCATCTCACCCACCTTGGTGAGCGCAGGTGGGGCAGAGACTCGAAACTAAATTGGCCGTGAGTTGCTAGTTATTGAAGTTGGGCGACGGATAACTGGGAGTTACTTTTGTATCTGTTTGAAATTTCCGGTAATAAAAGATTTAAAAAACTTAGATGAATAGAAAAGTTAAATATATATTTATTTTTTGCCCCAGCCTGGCAGGCCAGGGCTGGGTGAAGACCCCCAAGAAAGGAGCGCCTTCCTCTCTGTCAATGCAGGATCTGACATGGGAGGAGGGATGCTGGACCTCCTGCCTCCCAGACCCCTGCAAATGCTCACCTCCTCCCCTGAGACAGCTGGCTCCCAGGGAGGAGTTGGAACTGAGTGAGGCATCCTGGTGCTAGTCCATCCACAGACACCTGCTGACCCCTCCCCTGCCCTAGTTTTGATCAGCTTCCTCATGGACCAGACATCAATTTCATGTTCTTTTTTGTTTTTTGAAATTAAATTTGTCTTTGTCCCCCTATGGGAAATGAACGTATGCTCATTATAGAAAACGTGGGAAAACAGAGATTAGAAGAAAGAAGAGAGAATAAATGAGAAATTGCATTTCTAAGGAGGTTATCGCCGGGCTCAGCAGGGGGCACGGACTGGCTAGTGTGGTCAGCAGGCCATCGGGTGCTGGTCTATAGGGGACACCACAGCTAGCTCAGGCCTTCCCGCCCCCATGGGTTTCAGGAAGTGCTGCTGGGCCGCAGGCTTGTCCAAGTGATGCAGAGAGTGGGGCCGACAAGAGTTGCTATATTTAATTTTGGCATCTGCGTCACAGGTGACCACACAGCAGCATGTGCCCAGGCAGTGCATGGGCTGGGGGCGTTTCTGAACGACGCTGTGAGAGAATCACTTTCCACAAGAGAAGGCATTGTGGAGGGGAAGGGAGAGAGCGCAACAGAAAGTGAGGTCGTAAGTAGAAAATCGCTTCTGGGATTTCAAATGGCTTCGTCATGGGGCCCTCCCTTGCTGCCGAGAAATCAGTTGATCTGGGAAAGTTCGTTGCAAACGCTTTGCTCTGCTGCTTTTGGGTGGAGCCGAGAAATGAATGAAGATAATGAGGCTTTCTGACTTTTATTTTTCAGAGTAGGAGTGGGCAGTGTGTGGGGGAGGGGTGACCATGGATACAGCCATCGGTTCTGACACGGGCCTGGACCTCGAGGAAGGCTAGGTAACTGGCCAGCATGTCCCAGGCCAGGCCGCCCCATCTGGAACACGGTCAGCCAGGACTCAGCCAGGCCTTCTTAGAAGGGAGTCAGCCGAAGGGAGGAACAGTTTTTGAGTCTGTTCAAACTGACCAGCTAAATTAAGATAATAAGCAGAAGACACTTCCTTCCCTGTTGATCATAATGAAAGAGTGATAACTGATGGACTTGATAAATCCAAGCCTTCCAGGTGCTCGGTCATAAGGAAACAAGAGGCAGGCCCCCATCCTCCTGGGTCCTGAACAGTTCAGAAGGCCAGCCTCAGAGAAACCCCCAAGTCACTTGGAGTGTTTTCTGACACCTCATCTGAGCAGCAAACAGAGGTGTTTGGTGCCGAGTTCACCGGAAACTCGCGTGTGTCTCTCACTTCTCACTTGAGCCCCAGCCCCTCTTCCAGTGAAACCTCCCAGGCCTGGGCTTCCCGGGGTGCCAAGAGGCTCCCCGCCCTGGGCCCCATGACCAGCATCTCCCTCCCACTCACTAAGCACTCTTATCTCTTCCCAACCCCCCATCTCTCTGGGCCCTGCTCAGGGTTGCCTGTGCATGAGAGAAGTGAGACCACAGGGTTAGAGAAAACTCCCACAAATACCCCAGGGGTCAGTCCCCAGGTGGTGATGCTCCAGCCACAAGAGCTGACGCATACCTTTTTTTTCTCTTTCTTTTTCTTTCTTTCTCTTTCCTAGCTGGGCCCACCTCCTTGTTGCCACCAGCAGTGGCTTGGTTCTGTGGCTCTGTGAGGTGTCCTCATCCCTGGAAGGCCCCGAGCCCGCTCCGGCTCACTGCACACCACCAGTGACCACAGGTCCTCTGTCTGGGGGACAGTCTTGGAGGCACAGGCAGGGAGCTGTGGGTGGCCAAGGATGTGGCCCTCTGCGGACCCCTAGTGGTAGGGCCCAGGTGGACCTGTCAGCACTGTGCACCCAGCTGCAGGGCCTTTCTGACTGTATGGCTTCGAATACATCCTTGGGAAATCCTGAGGGACCCTCCCCACACCAGCCTCAATTCCAGTGTTTGTTCTCAGGAGATTCACATGGAATTTCACTGGAAGACTTTCCATCTTTCTTGTGGACAGACAGGCCAATGCCCTGGTTAGGCATAGAGGACATGAGTCAAAGGTGATGCTACCAGCAGATGGATCACTAAGTTTTGTATTAAAAAAAAAATCAATCTTCCATAAATATCCTTCTGGCCTTAAAATCTTTGAATCTCTGGAGAGAGAAGGATAGCGGAGATCTTGCCTCCTACCCCTACTCCCGACTTTTGAACCTCCTGCCCTCCCAGGGTAGAGCACCCTTCTCCAGACCCTCCATTGTTCAACAACTTCTTTCTGGTGCTAAACCTTGAGTGCATGTGGTATCTTGGTCATTGCTAACCCAGAAGGCTGGTGCAGTGCAGGCCGTAGGCAGTCCTAGGCAAATATAGTGGGACTTAACAGGTTCTGAGACCCCTTGGGACCACGGAGACAGTTCACTCCCTGCTCTGGACAGCCCATGTGACACTCAGCTCCTGCGCCCCCTCCCTATGTCTTCCCTCTCCGGGCTGAGCATCCCCAGCATCCTGCACTGTTGGTTGGGGCTTCTTCACTTGCCTCTGCCTGGGTGCAAGCAAGGTGTCCACTCTATTTGAGTGTGGTTTCTGGAGCAGTCTGCTGCGGTCCTTCGCCCCCTGAACAAATCCTGCCATGGCCGCTGTTGCCTGAATCATGCACAGCATGAGCTCTCGCTGCTCCTGGGTGGCTGCCTCCACAGACTTCTGGGCATTGCTGTAAGATGTTCCCACAGGGCTCTGGGCTCCCCATGGAGGGCACCTGCGTGGGACTTAGTGTTTGAGACTGTTTTCTGATGACACCACCACCTACTGCAAAGGCATCCTGTCCTTCTGGGGCAGCCCTCTGCTCTGGGCATCTCCCAAAGATTCACAGTGGAAACCACTGCTGACGGGCATGACCATTAGCTGTGGTTGGCTGAGGCCTGTTGCTTTTTGCGCTCCAGGTGCTGACTTGGGCTGAAGGAAAAGTAAAAAGACCTGCTCAGAGGAATGGTCTGACCAGGGCCCTGCGACCTTGGCTGTCCGCTCTAGTCGCTCCACAGTCCAAGGGCCACAAGTCAATTGATATGTTGTATGTGTACTCTATAATGATGAGAGGTGTCCAGAAATTGAACGGGCTGTCCCTAGAAGGTAGGTTGTGAGCTCCCTATCAGGAGAGGTTCCCAAACAGATTGATGACAATATTATAAAGGTCATGGGTTCAGGCCAGATGACATTTGGACAGAGGGAGGCAGAGTGTAAGCGTTTGGGCTTTGGAGTTGGAATGAGTTTTGAGTTCAAATCCTAACTTTGCTCCTTATCCGCTGTATGACCTTGGGCAAGCCATCTTCTCCTCTCTGAGCCGCAGAGAGGTTATGAGGGAGGCACTGGAGGGTGTGTAGGTGGTGTTAGACACAGGCTGGACACTCATCGAGAGCTGTGATCCTGAGATCACTTCTGAGGTCTCTGTTGGCTCCAGACGCCCTCCTTGAACCCTGACACATGGCCCAGGCTTCCTCCCCTCCCAATGGGCAGTAGGTGGGGGGGCTTCTTCCAGGCCAGGTCCCACCTCCCCCAGAGGCTTGCTTACTTTTAGCCCAGGTCTTGTCCCTCACTCCCCCTCGATTCCATCCTAGGCCCCCTCCTCCAACTGGCCTGCTTCCCAAAGAGCTCCTCAGAGTCTTAAGAACATAGGCCAGCGTCCCCAAAGGCCAAAATAAAAGGCAAACACCATCAGGTCTCTTGTCAGCATCTTTATTTCTGGCTTCCAGTTTGACAAAGTCAATGAAACAGCTTATTCAACGACCCCTTCCCCCAATCCACACACACCATATGCAGTGTTCTAGGCTGCTTTTTTATATATTAACTCTTTGATAATATATTTTAATACTTAACTTTAAATACAAGGAAAAACAATAAATTACTCCTTGGCTGAGGGCCGACTGCTGGCTGGTAGACAAGAGCGGCTACTTCAGCCATCTCTCCTGTCCCCTGCCCTGGCCCAGGACCCCAGTGAGGTAGCAGAATTTTGCACACAGTACTTATTCCCAGGGACTCCTAACGCCCGCTGCTTTAGTGCTGGAGCCCCAAGTTTCCACACCCTGGGCTCCAAGTTCTGGCACCATCAGTCCCTCCTTATCCCCAGTACAGACAAACACACTTATTTAAATAACACATAATAATAAATAAGGCCAAGAAGAAATGTGTCTGAACTGCTTTCTGCCTCAGTTGCCCCTGTATAAAGCAGGTCTCTCTCCCACCAAGTGTCTGGCAAGGGTGGCGCCCACTGTAATGCTACAGTTTGCTCTGACGAGGGGGAGGTCACGTGGGGCAATGTTTCCACCCTTGTCCAACAAGCTCGGAGCCCCGGATGGAGGAGGCCCAGCAGGCTGATCCCCGGGCACCAAGGCAAGGGGCAGCTGGGGTCAGCTAGGCAGAAAGCAGGCAGCACAGGCTGAGGTCTAAGCTGAGGAAATCTTACCCCCCTCCCTAACCCTCCTTCCCATCTCCCCAAGAAATTTCTGACATCTGAAAGAAAAATGGATCTGCAACTTAAATGGTCAGGGTCTGCCTCTGCAAATGATGCTGCTAGCTTTTCATGCTTCAGTTGAACTCTCCGTGGCGATAAGTTTTCCTCACATTGTTGAGCAGGTCTTTTGCCAACTCGATCACTTCAATTTTGGTGTCTCGGATGCGCTCACGGGAAACCTGCTGCAGGACAAAGAGGCCAGTGCGTTAGTGGGACGCCAGAGCAAGGACGACCAGCGTCCACCAGGGGTTTTCCAGGGACTGGCTTGTTTAATCCTCATAAAAGCCCCCATGAGGTGGGTACTGTTATTACCCACATTTTACAGATGTGGAAACTGAAGCTCAGGTAGGAGTCAGGAGCCCTCAAGCCCAGGTCCAGAAATCCCAAAGGTCATGACCCTGCTGCCACAGTGGACCCACCTCTGGGTGGACGCATGCCTCAGATGCTCAGCCAGGTTCCCCTGGAGCTCCCAGGGTGGACCCAGAACTGGCGGGAGTGGGTACAGGGTGGGGGGTGCAGGGCAGGGGGCCTTACCCCGGCTGAGGGCTTGTGACGGCAGAGTGCAGTCAGCATCCTCCGGGTCCTTACGATGGCGCTGCAGTTGGAGATGTCGTTCAGGGATTCCAGGGCTGCACAGTACTGAGGGGAGGAGAACACCTGGTGTCAGGCCCTGCTGGGCGCCCCCAGGTATATGGCTCGGGCGGTACCTTCAGTGAGTTCACAGGAGAAGGGGGACTGAGAGGCCTGGTGGAGGTGGGTCTGGGTGGTGGGAGGGGCCCAGATTATGAGGGGAGAGAGGGTGGCTCTTGAAGCTTGCTTGGAACCCCCCAGCCATGTGAGTGAGGTTCAGGGAAGACAAGCCCAAGGCCTACAGCCTCAGCTACCTCCCTCCCAGCACCCAAGGGTCCTTACCGTCTCAGCTGTTAGGTTGACACTCCACACCATGCTGCCATTGCAGAGGGAGGCCTGAGGGAGCAAAAAGACAGTGAGCTGAGTGCTGGCAGGGGCCCCAGGCCTGCCCTGGCCAGCCCAGGCCACGTCTCCATGGGGATCAGGCCCCACAAGCATCCCTGGTGAAGCACAGAGGGAGGCCTGGGCCCCCTCAATGTTCCTCAGTTTCATTTCCTGCTCTGCACAGTAAGGGAGTCCCATTGTATAGGATCTTGGAGCTGAGAGAGAAAAATTGAGTGACACAACCAGTAAGGGATAAGCCTTGTGCAAAGCTCGCCATAGCCAGGGCAGGAGGACAGACGACACCAGGCCGGTCAAGAAGGGGCCTGCCGGGGAGGGCCAGGCACGGTAGCGTGAGGGAGGGAGTGGCCAGGCCAGTCAGATGGGGAGCAGTGGGGTCTAGTGTATAAACACTCTGCCTTCTGAATTGGAGGATACCGCAGTTCAGAGCAAGGGCACTCGGGTGTTGGCCAGGCCTGGTTTGCATCTGGCTTTTGTCAGTTAACCTCACTGAAGCTTAGTCAGTAAAATGGGGTCATTGTACCTCCTTATTGAGGTGGTTGGCAGCGAAGAAAAGAGGTATAAAGCACCCAGCACCAGGCCTGGCACATAATCCGTGCTCAGACAGTGTGAGCTGTCACTGCTGAGGAGAACCCTAATGAACCCTTCCCTAAGAATGGGCTTAACTTAGATGCTGTGAAGAATAGCCCCATTATTGCGTTCAAATACAGTTGGCAAATGCCAAATGGTTCTAGGAGGGTTTTGGCCCTTCTCTGCTTTCTTCTGTTCAGGAAGGGCTGAGTAGGAGCTGGCAGTGGCAGGCAGGGCCAGGCCAGGGGAGCAGGTGGTCTGTGGGGGCTCTGCCAAATCCCTTCATAGGTCCATCCATATTGCTGCACCCCCTAGCCTGGCTCCTCTCTCCCCCATGGCTGGGCCTGTCCCCTGGTCCACAGGGCTTCTTCCTGCCCCACAGGCATCTTAGGACCAGGCCCAGCCTTCATGGCCCAGGCCATGACCACCAGTACCCTTCCTGAGAATCACCCACCCAGCACCCTCAGAGCTGGGACCCTGGCCAGTGGGCACTCACCTGGTTCTGGGTAATGTTGACCAGCTCATTAATGAGCTCTGTGAGGCCTTTGGAGGGAGGCACGGGTCCCGGGGAGGCAAGGCCGCCAAGGCAGGTGAGAGCAATGACCACGGTCAACCAGAGCGCCATGGAGCTCAGAATCAACACAGGAGGAGCCGGGAGCAGACACGTAGGCTGGCCTAAGCTGAGCGGCTTGTGACCTTGGCCTCTTGAGGCAGCTTTTATAGGCCCAAGTGGTGACGCTTCACACTCTGGTCTCCGCTTTGTCAGGCACTATCTAGAAACCACATCTTTACTCATCTTGATTTTACTTTGTGGAAAATCCAGTGTCGCATAAAGGAAAGAGTTTGATTTCTTGTGGACAATATTGGGAGGGGTCCGGGGCAGTTCCCAAGATCTGGATGGGCTTACTCCAGGGGTAAGCAAGAAGGCCCTGAGGGGGGCCTGGTGCCAGCCCTGCCAGCCGGAGCTCCAGCAGTTTAGCTTGGTGACCACCTGAGTGGCCTGCCCAGCTCCTGTCCTCAGACCGTTTGGTTCACCAGACTAGAGTCTTATCAGATGTGGGAATTTGGAGGTTCTGTTTTTTCAATGAACTGGTCTCCTATATTACCAGAGTAACACTTGCTTTGGATCCACAATTCAAACAGGGTAAAAGGAGAAGAGTGAGGGTCAGGTCACTTCTTTCTTGATTCCCTGTTGGCCCCACCGTGGGAAGGACCATAAAAGTTTAGATTCCCAGGTCTCCACTGAAAGATCCAGTCAGATTCAGGGAACCCCCTGGGACCTTTCCTTTTTAAAGTTGCTTTGATGATAACTCTGAGCACAGGTACCCTGGACACTAGGCGCCTCACCCAAGCCTTCAGTGTGGCCCCATCTTGCTGGGAAGCCTTTAATGTGCCAGGCCAGCAGGAGGTGGACCCAGCCTTAAGCCCAGGTTGGAGAGTGTAACTGTTTCCAGTGCCCCTGAGACCTCGGATGACCACCTTTGTCCACCAGTCTCTATGGGACCAACCCCTGCCCTCTGGGGGCCTCAAGTTTCCCTTCTGCAGAATGAAGGCTGTGGAGCGCAGCTCCTGGGCCTGCCTCCACTCCTGGGTCCCCTGTGAGCCGCCTACCTCCTGCAAGAACACTGGCATGTAGATATTTTCCTGCTCTTCCCTCATTTCTCTAGAAGTCCTCCAGAAACCCCTGCAACAGAGGCCACAGCATTTGCCTATTGGGTGCTGATGTCAAGCTCTCCCCCTCACCCACTTCCTCCCCTAAGCCAGCGCCTGCCCCTCCAGGCCCCTTCTGCCTGCTCAGGCAACCACTGCCCTCCCTCTAGTGGGGCTCAGTCTCCTCACAAGGGTCTTCCAAGGGATGCTGGAGCTGCCACTCCTGCTCGAAAGTCACTCAGCCTTGCCCACCTTCTCCTCCCACACATGATTCCCACCCTATCTTCTGTCCAGACCTCAAGCTTCCCAGCCCAATTGCAGGCCTTGACAGCCGGAAGCCAGCCCCTGCCCCTCGTGGCCGCCCAGTGCCTGAAGTGCTGCCATCTGGCTGTGTGACCCCTCTGTGGGCCTCAGTTTCCTCGTCTGTAAAATAGGGCCAATGACATCTCTCCTGGGGTCTCTGAGGAGGGAAGGAGCGGGGAACAACCGTAGGGCAAGTCCCGGATCCCTGCGTCCGGATGAGTCAACGCCCCCTACCCCACAGGACCAGCAAAACCGATGCGGGAGCGGTGGGGAGCCGCGCCCCCGCGCGTGGGAGAAGGCGCGCTGGGCCCGCGGTCGTGGCGATGCCCCGGGGAGATAGGGGCGCCGCCTTATGTAATGGGAGATGGGGCCGATAAACGGGATCTGCGCAGCCAGGCCTGCCTCCGCGGCCTCGGGAGGTGGCTTGTGTCCGAAGGAGGGGTAAGGGCGCAGACCGGCGTCTCAGCGAAGCCGCGAGGCGCCCACCCCCGCCCCGGTCCGCGCAGTGCTAAGGCCGGACAAGGGAGTGGCAAAAGTGGAAGTAGTGGGTGCGAGGGCCAGGCAGGGCAGGGGCCGGGCTGGACACGCGGGCCCTCCAGCGCCCCGAGCAGCTGTGCGCACCGGCAAGGGGTGGCGTGCATGTCCCGTCGCGCGCATCCTCCGGGGGACGCGGCCGAGCTGCCCGCCTCTTCGCTGCCCTGCCTCGGAGGGCGTCGGGGCTGCGCCGTCCGGCCGTGGCTCAGGAGACCCGCCTTGGCGCTCATCCCCGGGACGAGCCCCCGCTGGCTACTTCAGCTGGTCTGTGTTGCTGTTTTTTGATTTGCAGCGGGGCTCCGTTCACACCCCAGATAATGTAATCAACAGAAACTACAAAAGGGCTGCTCCGGGCACTTGACACACGTGGCTTGTAATTATCCTACAACCCGCTGCGTAGGCCACCCGGTCCGGGTTACAGGGGCAGAACCGGGCACTCAGGGCCGTGGAGGAGCCTGCCCCGGCTGCGCGGCCAAGGCCAGGGAAGGGCGGGGTGCGCGGCCTCACCGCCTTGCTCTCGCCACGCATGGGATCGCTGAGGTTGGGACTGCCCATCCTCCTCTGAACGAGTCCTCCCTGCGGCACGGTTCAAAACACTTCCTCTTCCAATTTTCTCCAACTTTGGGTCTCCGTTGGAAAGAAAAGATGCCCAGTCAGTAGGAGTAAGTGTTAGGCGAGTTGGTTTAATAATTTAAAATATCTAACTTATTAGATTTTTATTCTTATGAAAGTTATACGTGCATGTAATTTTTAAACATCAAATAATTCAAGGAGGTTGATTATAAAAAACGGCAGTTTGGGGAATCAGTTCTTTATGCGTCTCTTGCATTTCTGCACGTCTTGTGAGGCATTGATTGCCCTGCTTTGTTCCCTACTATCTTTTAAAGGATGTTTATATAGCACATAGCCTTGGAAGAGATAGCATCTTCCTCTGAAGCAAAAGGCAGGCAGTCTTACTGTCTATTATTAAAAATTCAGGTTCCCTAAGCTCAGGCTTCCTCTCCTGTAATGCATCCCACTGTGTGTACAGGCGTCATTCTATGAGAATTGGGATTCAGGAAACAAAATTTTGAAATAAAAAAATACTGTAATATTACTGTTGTGCTTAATAGACTGTTCTTTGTCTCTGATCCAAGAGTCTTGTATCTTCTGCCAGCCTCCATGAAACTGGGGCAAGCTAACTTGTTAGCATGCAAGTACGAAAAATCTCAGAGCCTTGGGTTGTTGACAAACAGCCCTCCCCACAACCCCTTAGCCTCTTCTCCAGAGGAACCAGTTTTAACTGTTTCTTTTGGTATTTACCTCCTCCCTGTCTCTCAGTTTCTTGATTCTCAGGTCCAGGCGTTATCTGTGGTCCACAATGAATATTTGCTTCTCTTTTCTCCTTGCCATCTTCTTCCACTTGCATCTTCCCTTTTTTCTCATCCTATCAATGTACATAGATCATAATTTGGGTCAGTCAAAAGCCTTGCATGCCGTTTATATAATTATACTAATATATTCACAGCTGAAACATGGTTAACTATGATTATTTTTATTTTCCCTCAAAACTTTTTTCCTCTGAAATTAATAAATTGTGTTGTTTTTCCATTTGCTTGGTTTTCTATGTTCCTCTCAGTGATTTAACCCTAAATTCTCAGCCACTTATATGTCTCCTCTCAAGAAATTTGGGTAAATGAGTTATTCTCACAATTTCATCTTCCTAAGAAAGTCTTCCCTGGAGCCTGCTGACCTACTCTTACGTGGACAACTGCCCTCTGACCCTTCTACACAGCTGTCACCCTGTGGTCTCCTGTCACCACTGCCCTGGGAATTCCCTTTGCCTCTGTCTTTTGTGACTCTCCTATTCCTTGCATCCCAGGTCTTCCTCTTTCTTGGGGGAACACATTTAATTTTAATGAAGTCCAGCTTATCAATTATTTCTTTCATGGATTGTACCCCTGGTGTTGCATGTAAACATCATTGCCAACCCAAAGTCATCTGCATTTTCTCCTATATTATCTTCTAGGAGTTTTCTAGTTTTGTGTTTTACATTTAGGTCTGTGATCCATTTTGAATTACTTTTTGTGAAGGGTATAAGGTCTGTGTCTAGATTTATTTTTTTGCTTGTGGATGTCCAGTTGTTCCAGCACCATTTGTTGAAAAGATTATTTTTGCTCCATTGTATTGCCTTTGCACCTCTGTCAAAGATCAATTGACTATATTTATGTGGGTCTATTTCTGGGCTCTCTGTTCTGTTCCATTGATCTATTTGTCTGTTCTTTTGCCAATACCACACTGTCTTGATGTAGCTTTATAATAAGTCTTGATGTCAGATGGTGTTAGTTCTCCAACTTTGTTCTTCAATATTGTGTTGGCTATTCTGAGTCTTTTGCCTCTCCATATAAACTTTAGAATCAGTTTGTTGATATCCGCAAAGTAACTTGCTGGGAATTTTATTGGGATTGCATTAAATCTATAGATCAAGTTGGGAAGAACTGACATCTTGAGAATTTTGAGTCTTCCTATGTATGAACATGGACTATCTCTCTATTTATTTAGTTCTTTGATTTCTATCATCGGAGTTTTGTAGTTTTCCTCATGTGGATCTTGTACATATTTTGTTAGGTTTATACCTAAGTATTTCATTTTGGGGGTGCTAATGTAAAGTGTTGTGTTTTTAATTTCAAATTCCACTTGTTCATTGCTGGTATATAGGAAAGAGATCAACTTTTGTGTATTAATATTGTATCCTGTAACCCTGCTATAATTGCTTGTTAGTTCCAGGAGTTTTTTATTGATTCTTTTGGATTTTTTACTTAGATTGTTGTCATCTGTGAACAAAGACAGTTTATTTCTTCCTTACTAATCTGTATGCCTTTTCTTTTCTTGTTTTATTGCATTAGCTTAGACTTCCAATACAATGTTGAAAAGCAGTGGTGAGGGGATATCCTTGCCTTGTTCTTGATCTTTGTGGGAAAGCTTCAGTTTCTCACCAAGAAGTATTATGTTAGCTATAGGTTTTTTGTAGATATTCTTTATCAAGTTGAGGAAGCTCCCCTCTATTCTTAGTTTATTGAGAGTTTTTATCATGAATGGGTGATGGATTTTGTCAAATGCTTTTTCTGTATCAATATAATCATATGATTTTTCTTCTTTAGCCTGTTGATGTAATCACAGGCTTGACTTTTTGAATGTTGAACCTGCCTTGCAAATCTGGGATAAATCCTACTTGGTCATGGTGTATAATTCTTTTTATACATTGTTGGATTTAATTTGCTAATATTTTGTTGAGGATTTTTACATGTATGTTCCTGTGAGATACTGAT